TCAGGGGTAGCAAGGTGACTTTCCCGCTGGGCGTGAAGACTGGCAGGCAGAGCGGGAGTCCCTTAGGTTTTCCTTGGTGCCCAAAACAGGCCTCTCGGTGCCAACGGAGACTGGTGACCCAACCAGACACTCACCACCAGCAGCCAGCCTTCCTCCAGGCCTCCACCGCTCCCCCGGGGTGTACACCCTTCACTCAGTCCCTTGCCTTGGTCACCATACTGCTCCCCTCCAGTGCCCCAGGGCCCCTGTCTGTCTGAGGGTCAGCCCTGCCCCTGACCTTCATATCGTCAGAGAAGACGTGGCATTAAGAGGTGCTGTGTGTGTCTGCCCTGGAGCACGGCAGTTACGCCCAGCTGGCTCTGCTGTGGTGTCCTTGATGGTGTGGGTGTCCTTGATGGCGTGGTCGGACCCCACTCCAACTCAGAGTGTGGCCAGCCTCACGACACCACCCCTTCCGCTCAGGGAGAGCTGCCACCGTCACCTGCCTGATCCACCGGTCTGGCCCACAGACAGACACGCACTGGACCAGATGTCCTGGTGAAAGTATGTGTGTGTGTGTGTGTGTGGGGGGCCACAGGCCAGCCAGGGGAGCTCCCAGCTCCCAGGCCCTTGAGAGCTGGGGCCTTTGAGAGAGCGGGCACCCTGCCGGGGTGGCAAGTGGGTGCCCAGCCGAGGTCAGGGTCCACCTGCAAATCTGCCCGACAGCAGAGGCTGCGCCCTCCGCCTGGCACCCAGGCAGACTGCAGCCTTTTAAATTTTTGTCTCTGACCTGAAGAAGTTCATTTTTGACTGAAGGGCCAACACGAAGCCCTTAAACAGCTCAGGTGTGGCCACCGGGCTGCTCCGGGCCTGGCGGCGGGTCCTGGGGGGATGCCTAGCTTGTTTACATGGAATGACAGAACCTGGGAGAGTCGGACAGGCGGGCTGCTCGGGGTCTCGGGGCCCAGGGGCCGCCCTCTGCAGGGCCTCAGCCCTGGGACCCTCAGTGTTCCAACGCTCATGAGCTCAACCTCCTCGTTCCCCTACAGGCTCAGTTTCCCCAGCGCGGCAGCTTTTAGTTTTCTTTGACCCTAGCATCTGAGAATTAAGTGACCCCTCTCCGCAGGGAGCCAGGCCAGGTGCTGGCGGGACGCAGGGGGCAACACTGCCCACACTAGCCGTACCCTTCAGGTCTCAACACGCTGCCTGTGGGACCACCCTTTCTTGGAGGCACTGCTGATATTTATGTGGATCAGCCCCCAGCTGACTGCAGGGCTTCCCCTGTGCACTGGCCCAGGTCCCCAACCAGGGTGTGCCTGCGCTTCCCCACCACGACCACCAGAGGTCGCTGGGACTCCACCCAAGGGCACACTCCTCTGCAAGCTGGTGATGCTGACCAGCCTGGAGCTTTGGTGCAGAGGGGAGGAAAAAGGGGCAGAGGCAGGGGCCCTACTCAGGGCCCTACATTTCCCCAAGCTCACCGCTCCATTCCTGGCCGCCTCGCATGCCTGGCACTTACACTGCCAAGGGCAGGGCCCAGGGACAGGAGGGGTTGGGAGGGGCGGTGGTGGCCATATAGTCCCTGGTGGTGCCTGCGTCTCCTACCATGTGCACCTCGGGAGGGGCTGGAGGGAAGAGAAGGAACCTGCATTCTCAGTGAACCCCGGAGCTGGGCAGGCTGGACACCACAGAGCAGAAGCTGCGTGCCAGGAGGCCCTGCAGCACGCAGGAGAGAAGCAGCTCTATGCAAGGCCTTTGGGGCGTAGGGCTTTGGAGGTCGGGAGCAGGGAGCCGAGCTAAGGCCCCTCAGCCCCCAGAACCCCAGACCAGTCGTGGGAGGAATGACTGTGTCTCCCACAAATGTCACCAAGTGAATGAGGACAGCCACGCACCACAGCCACACCCGGACCTGAGGGTCACCGTGGGCCACCTGGCTGCGGCTGGGGCTGATGCTCACACTGCCAGGCTCTTTCCGAAACAGCAATAGGTCCCCACCCCACCCCCACTCCACCCCCACTCCCACCCCACCCAGATGGCCACCATTCCAGGCCAGGGGCGTGCTTTCGGGACAGGGTCTGACATCTGCTCGGGCAGCTCTGTGAGCTGGAGGTGCCTCGGACCCCATGCCATGACTGAGCTCACACCTCACTGCTTCTCGCCCGCAGGAGCTGTCCTCTCCTGCAGACGCCCAGTCGTTTAGAAACGTAAACACCAGTGTGAGTGCTGGCCGTGTGAGCCAGGCACTGCATCCGCTGGCATCCTGCTGGCCGAGGGCCTGAGAGGCTGGGCTCCGGAGTGTCCTGTGATTCGCTCCTGAGAAGGCAGTGGAAGTCACTCACCCCCCAGAGCAGTCCTTCTTCCAGAAGGAGGGACGAGAACCAGAGAACCGGGTGCGGAGTGAGAGCCAGCACCACCCCAGCTGCCACAGGCCGGCACTCTGCTGTTTTCCGCCAAATCTTGCAACCAACTGGCCTTCTCGGCAGGTCTGCCTGGCATCTCCCATGTGGCTGTGTGACAGCAAAGGGCCTCCGCCAGGAAGAATAAGGTGCCTCTGCCCGGCCCCCAGCCTGGCGCCCTCCGTGGGGGCCAGGGAGGTGAGGATTTCCACATTCCAGTGCAGCCGCGGAGAAGGCGGGATCCTCACGTGGCCACGGGGGACAGACCGGGCGGAGAGCCTCTGCGCATCTGTAATCACCCAAACAACAGAGCGCAAGGGCACCAGCCCCACGCCCACGCTGATGTGCTGTTCGACCACACGTGCACTTTGAAGCCCCAAAGACGGACCAGGTCTGGTTTCTCTCCCGGGCGCCGCCGTAGTTAGTTGCCCATGAAAAGGAGCGTTCTTAATGCAAAGCTGGAGAAATGCTGAGAATGGGACGGCACTGGGCCAGGAAAGTGAGACAGGCTGCACACCTGCCTGCAGGGGGCGCTGCGGGCACTCCAGAGCTGGAGGCCAGGACTCTGCCTTCACCACAGCCAGAGTCTGCGAGCCCACGGCTTCTGGTTTACTTCCACCAACGTACAGACTTAAACAGCCAACACACCAGAAACCACCCAATGCCAGCAGGGCGGTAAACTCTGAACCTGCCAACAGCCCACACGACCAGAGAAAAACCTTTTCCAGAGAAACCTGGACCCTTCGTCCCTTGCTTAGAGGGCCTGACCATAAGCCAGCTCTAGTGTCCCCCCAACCCCCCAGGGCCACTTACCCCAGCGCCGCACCCAAGGGCCCCTGGAGAAGCCATACCATGCCAGACCCTCGGCATAGAGGCCCCGGGGACCCAGGCCTGCCTCCGGAGTGGCTGCTCCAGACCTGCCTGGGGACTGAGGCCGGCCTCTGCAGAGCTGCCTGCGGACAGGGCTGCCCTGGCAGAGCCCAGCTTAGGTACTTGGGCTCGAAGCCAGAGCATGGCAGTAGCCTCAAAAAGCCCACGACTCAGTCATGGCAAAGGGCAGAGCCCCCTGGCTGAACATCAAACACCGAGGACCTCCTCCCCAGATGCCCTGACCCAGGGCGTGCCACAGGTGCCACCAAAGGAGAGCTGTGCCTGGGCACACGTCCATGCCCAGCATCCACTCCAGGCGGACAGGCTGGACGGAGACACCGGCATGGCCTGAGGACCTGGCACCTGCGGCCCACGTGTCTGTCGGGAAAGGCCGGGCGGGCACCCCTCAGGGGCCGGTACCCTCCTCCAAGGGCCTCAGGACTTTGGGAAGCAGCCAGGGGCCTCCCTCCAGGGCCAGGGAGCACAGCATCCGCCGGGGAAGCGAGCCTAGTGAACAGGTCTGCCCACGGTTCCAGGGAGCCTGGGCCACCTGGGCCCACGGCTGGCAGAGGCACTGAACAGTACCCAGCAGAATCCAGCACAGCACCCAACTTAGGCGTGTGGGTCCCACACGGAGCTGAGGTTCTCCAGGGCAAAACCCCACACGGAGTGTGTTGGCACTCAGTGTGTCATCTGCACACAGGCCAGACCCAGGAAGCCACGGGAACAGGGGCTGGCAGGGACCCTCAGGGATGACATACTAACAAGGCTGTGCGCGGCACGCTTTATTTCTATAAAACTATTACAAAATATTCAAAAATACAGTTTAGTAAATTTACAGCAGTTATTCTCAATTTATTAATGCAAAAAAATCCTTGTTTATCTCTGTACAAACTACAGGCTCCATCCACATGGGCTCATTGCTATGTGCACTTTTAAAAAATATCATTTTCTAATAAATTCTTTGAAGTTAAAAATAACATCTTCCAGTTTGTCAAAAAAAAAAAAAAAAAAAAAAGAAAAGAAAAAAGAAAAAAGAAAAAGAAAAGTGTGTGTGAGTGTGTAACAGTCTTGACTTCCAAGAATGTGGCCAACATGGTGATGACAAAGCAAATATGCATCCATGAGGATATGAGAAGAGATGACTGTGACCTTGGAAATTAGTTAAATTAAAAATAATATATTTTCATATTTTACACTATTTCAAAAATGAAATGTAACTCAGTTAGGTATTGATCTCTCAAAAATCTAATTTACAATTCTGTGTATAAAAATAGACTTTGTGGCCCCACCAGCTGAGTCCACGCTGAGGAGCGGAGCGGGAGAGTGGGCAGGCTGTCGGCGGAGGGACGTGTAGAAAAATAGACTCTGCGCAGGTCGCTTGGCCGCACACCTCTCCCCGGAGAACAGTTCACACGACAATAATAAATTACCCAAGAAACAAACTAGTTAAGGCTCTTGAAGGTCCGGTTCATATTATTTAAAACATCTATTCATACCAAACAAATAAATAGCCAGGAGAGGTGAAAAAAATCAAAATAAAACAATAACCAAAAGATTCAAAAAAATAGATATGAACTAAACACGACGCCAGAGCTCCGGGTCTTGGTTTCCTTACAGCCTATTTCGGGTTGTCCTACTTCATTCTTATTGTTATTACTTATTATTATAATTAACGTCTCATTCCGTGCGCTTGCTTTCCCGCGTCTTCTGCTGCAGGGTGCTGCTGCCGGCCCTCCTCCCCGCGGCAAGCCTTCAGCTGGACTTGACCGCCATGCCCAGCGGGTGCAGGGCCTCGCTGTCCAGCAGCCAGGTGCCTATTTGGTAGAGCAGCTGCGAGTACCAGTGGACGCCCGCGGCCCCGGGCGCCCCGGGCTCGGGCTGGGGTTCGCGGCCGCCGCCCCCGCCGCCGCCGTCGCCGCCGCGGAGCGCGCGCACGGGCGCCAGCGCGGCCAGCAGCGCGTGCGCCAGGCGGAAGGGCGCGAAGGCCCAGTGCGCCCAGCTGTGCTCCTCGATGACGGCGTAGCACGACGCCAGCACCCGGTTGATGAGGATGGTGCCCTGCGCCGTGAGCGGCGCGTACGCGCCCGTGGCCTCCTCGCGCAGCGTCACGCTGTGCACGGCGGCGGGCAGCAGCCGGCGGCCCCCGCCGCGCCCCGCCACCACGTACACGCGCTGGCCCGGCCGCACGCGGCTGGCGAAGAGCGCGCGGCGCCCCGGCGCGCCCCCCGGCGGCCGGCCCGCGCCCGAGGCGTTGTGCGGCGGCGCCACGAAGAGCAGGTGCGCGGCCGTGAGCAGCAGGCGCTCGCGCGGCTCCCGCGTCTCGATCACGTAGAAGAGCTTCCTGGCGCCGTCGTCGCGGTCCAGGAAGGCGAGGAAGTCGCTGTAGAGCAGCCGGCCCTGGTCGTCGGCCGCCAGCACGCGGTCGCCGGGGCGCAGGTCCTTCACCAGCTTGGTGCCGCCCTGCTCCAGGTGCACCGTGGCCGAGCCCGGGAAGCAGCCGCCGGACTTGACCGCCACCGAGTTCTCTGCGGGAGGAGAGGAGAGCGATGAGGGGCGAGTCCCGGACCCGGGCGCGTGCGGAGGGTGCCGCGAGGTGCCGCGCTCTGTGGAGAGCCTGGGAAGGCTGGTTCCGCGCAAACCTCTCCCCAAGCCCCGCCGCCAAGGCCACATTCAGCTGCAGACAGTCCTGGAGGGCTCTTTGGGCCGGGCTGGCGGTGATAAAGGCAGGCTAGCCAACTCCTTTCCTTCCTCCTTCCTCCCGCCCCACCCGCTCAGCACACACCCAGCCCCGCCAGAATGCGGAGGTGTTTGCTCTCCACTTGGATTCCTCAGGAAGCCTCCTTGAGCTCCCGGGCGCCGAGGCGCTCCCGCCCCCTCCGGCCCGGCTACCCCGCGGGGACCCTCACCGCCCGCCCAGGCCCTCGGAGTCCGGAGACGGGCGGGGGCGACAATAGCTGCGGCTGTAGCAACTGGACAAACATTCCAGGGCTCAGGCGGGTGACAGCGGCGCGCGCTCCCGGCAAACCCAGTGCGCGGCGCGGCCCCTTCGGCGGCTTCGGCACCGGGGCGCTCGGAAGAGGGGCTTCACGTCTCCTCGCCGGCCGCCCCCTATTTGCTCAGGTGCAGCCCGCGCCCCCCGCGGTTCACACGCGGCTCTGGGCGGCCTCACAGGCACTGTTTGCACAGCCCGGCCCTCGCCCCTCTCGAGCTGTGTATTTGAATTTTAATGGCGGGGCCGCGGCCGCGGGCAGCCCGGTTCTCAAGGCCCCTTGACGACGCGCCGTGAGGAGCCTCCGCGCTCGGGGCTCAGTGTCCGCAGGACAATGACCGGGCGCGGCGCGCGGGGGGCCGGGAGGGGGGCGCGGAGGCCCAGGCTTCTCTGCATTCCAATCTCCGGGATCATGCTTTTCGCAAATAGAGATCGCCAGAAAGAATCTTCCCGCCGGAATTACCGAGGGTTTTAATCTTCTCATCGGTTTCTCCGGCATGAAGTGCGGGCCCGGCCGTGGGAGGCCGCAGCCCGGAATGCGGCGGGCGCGGGCCGGCCAGTCGCAGCCCCGCCTGACACGCCGCGGCCTGTGCGCCGAATGCCAATGAGCGGCTCTGCGTCCGCCCGGCCGCATGGCCGCTGCTCATTTCCGAGGCCGCCTCCGGGACCGCCCGGCCGGGGACCCGGACAAGGGTGGCCCCAGGAAGGGTGCAGCCTCCAGGGCCAGGGAAGGGTGCGGGTTGCCTGCGGGGGCGGGATGGGTCAGGGGAGCGGCGTAGGGAAGACCCAGCAGAAGGTTCCCCGAGGAGCCCCGCGAAGGGGTGGGGATGCCGCCTTCCCTACCTCCCAAGGCAGGGACCCCTCCCAGCGTCCCTGACACTCCTTTCCTCTGGTGGGAAAAGAGCCACGTTTTCCTTACCTACTAACTCTTTCCCCACTCACATCTGCTGCTCAACACCGCGCAGGGCACAGGGGGCTCCTGGGGAATGCGGTGTGCACTGCTCTGCTAAATGCCCACGCGGGGCTACAGGGACTTGGGCCAAACAGCCGCCAAGTTGGGGCATTGGCTTGTGGGCTTAAAGCCTTCCTGCCAGAGCGATTCCTCACCAGTGACTGCGCGGGGCGTTGCAGGCCGGGGAAGGGAAGCGCTCCCAGCAGCCGCAGCCGCCTTTCCAGCACTGCTGTGGCCTGGGCAGCCGAGCTGCTGCTAACCAGCCGGGTGGCTTCTGGGCTTGCGCGTCCAGATGTGGGAAATGGTGGCTGCTGGGTTTATCACTCCCACCAGGCCTCTCCCCACGGGCTGTGCCAGTGAGCTGAGCTAGTTTGGAATCCGCAGGCACTCCCGGGAGGGGAGAGCACAGGAGCCTGCATCCTGGACATAAGCTCCTGTTGTGGGGGGCGGGGGGGGGGCGGCGCGGTGACTCTTAAGCCCTAAAGGAGAGGAGGATGAAGCCAGACCTGGCTAACCAGCAGGCTGCAGTCTCCCATCAGGAGAGTGTCCCCCATCTTTCTCCCCTGTCCTCGCCACTTCCTGTGGGGGCTCTGGGAGCGGGTGGGGTGACTCAGGAGACACATGCCCCCTGCGTCAGTGTTCAAGGGACCTCGGGCCTTTGCAGCCATAAACAGGAGGGGGGCGATGCCTGGCTGGGGTCGAGCCTCACAGAGCACCCCCCCCCCGCAGAAGCACATGCCCTCCCTGGTCCTCCAGCCTCCCCCCCAACCCCCCCGGTTCTGTTGCTTTGCCTTGAGGCAGGCAGCAGGGCACCAGGTGACACCCTTGGTGGATGTGGAGCTGGGGAGGGGTGCAGTGGCAGGGATGGGGTGCGGGCAGGGGTTACTCACCTGCTTTCACAGAGCAGTGGATGTGTGCTTTGGACTCGTAGTACACCCAGTCGAAGCCGGCCTCCACGGCCAGGCGCGCCAGCATGCCGTACTTGCTGCGGTCCCGGTCTGACGTGGTGATGTCCACGGCGCGGCCCTCGTAGTGCAGCGACTCCTCAGAGTGGTGGCCGTCCTCGTCCCAGCCCTCCGTCACCCGGAGCTTCACTCCTGGCCACTGGTTCATCACCGAGATGGCCAAGGCGTTTAACTTGTCCTTACACCTCTGCAGAGAGAAGGGCGGCAGGACATCAGCACCAGCCCACACCCACCTCCCTGCTGCTCAGCGGTCCCTGCGGCCAGGGTGGTGCCAGCCCTGAGCCCTGGAGGGGGCGCCATCAGCCTGGAAGAGGGGGCACCAGCTGGGAAGGGGTGTCTGCAGGAGCAGCATCCTTTAGAGATGAGCTGAGGGCCGTCTCCAAACCCTGAAGGAGCAGAGCTCCTGCCCCAGCCTGGGGAAAGGTGAGACTTTGGGGGAAGAGGGAACTGTGTTTGCAGACAAAGGCTGCGGAACCCACGGGGTACCCTTGGCCATGCCTTGCGCCTTCCCCAAGGTGTCCCCTACCCACTGCCACCCCTGGCTGTGGCCCGTTTCTCTGCACCTGTGAGGGGCTCCGCCCTCCTCCCCGGGAGGCACACTCCCTCACCCGGAGGCCAGAGGGAGGCCCGAGGTGCAATTTTGCAGAAACCAAGCAAAACACAGGACTTCTTCAAGATCCCAAAGCCTCGCCCTATCTTTGGACCCTCCCTCCCTCCCTAGGCCTATCTGAGGTGAGAATGAAGCCAAAGGTGGGGGGGGGGGCGCTGATAGCAGAGGGAGGGTGGGCGAGAGCCAGCAGTGAAAGGCCCAGTGAGTTATAATTTTCAATGCGGCCGGGCTGGGCCGGACGACAAACAGTCTTTATCTGGAAGCCGCATTCCTCGGCCGGACTCTCTCCCGGCGGCTGAGGTCTGCCTGCCTCTTGTTTTCCTTAACCTGCTCCCTTCCCCCTCTTGTTTTCTTGGCTCCGGCGCAGAATGGTGTCCGGCAAGTTTGAAGAGCAAACTTCAGAGGTGGAGGGAGGCGGTGGGGAGGGAGAGGGCGTGGGGCGGGAAGGTGGGGGATGGGGAGTCAGAAATGCCTGAGGCCAGGGAGCCCTGCGCCGTGGGGACTCTTCCCCTGAACCCGGCCTTCGCCTCCCCACCCCCAGCCACCTCGAGGAAGCTGCCCGGGGAGTGGGGAAAGCGGCAGGCGGGGGCAGGGTGCGGGAGCGGAAGTCTCCCACATCCCGCATGTGCGCGGTCCCAGAGGAAGAAGCAGTACCCGCCGAATCCAGTGTGTGTGTGTGTGTGTGTGTGTGTGTGTGTGTGTGTGTGGCGGGGACTCGCTGGCGGCGTCCTGCTGCGGGTGCGGGATTGGAAAGGACAAGGACACAGCCTGGCGGATCCCGAGAGGCCGGCTCCCAGGGGCGCGCGGCAGTGTCCGCCGGGTCTGCAGAGGGCAGGGCTGCCTGCTGCGGGCGGGCGGGCGGGCGCCGGGCCCCGGCCCCTCAGAGCCGGGAGAGACTCATTTCCTCGGCGTGGGGAGGGGCGCCCTGCAGACCGGGATATGATAGATTGCGCAACAGGAAAAGCCCTGTGTATTTGGCAGCAATAAAACGCAGTAATACGGTTGTAGAGTTAAACATACAACAGATGGGGGAGGGCGGCCCTGGTGGCAGGTCAGCGCTTGCAGGTTTCTGGGCCTGACAGCCGTTTTCTTAAAACACACACACACACACACACACACACACACACACACACACACACACACACACACACACACACACCCCTCAGGAGGACAGAGTTTGAGTGAGGTCATCTTGAGGATTGAACGCGTTTTACATGAAAATCAATCCGCAAACTGGGGTCAGTTAGCGCCGGCTGCGGGCGGCGGCGCAGGCGCACAGGGCCCGCACGCACACGCGCACGCCCGCCCGGCCTCACCCGCCCGCCCCGCTCTCCCGGCGCGGGGGGCTGAGGTGCCCGGCCGCGGCGGGAGGGGGGACACGGGCCACCCTGGCGTCCGGAGCTGCGCCGCGTGGGTCAGAGGCGAAGGGCGCGGGCGAGGACGCAGGCTCAGGAAGGCCCGACCCGCTCCGCGCCCCTCCTCCCCGCGCGCGGCGGCAGAGCCGGAGCCCAGGACGGCCATCAATTCACTGGGTCGTGTGCCGCGAATCAAGCGCGGCTCCTGTGCAGCCACCGTGAAGCCCAGCGGGGCCGCCGGCCGCTTTGTGCCGCCGAGGCCCAGCGGCTCCCCCCCTGAGCTCCCGCCGCCGCCTCCGTCTGCGCCGCCGCCGCGCCCGCGCGGGAGCGGACCGGCCCGGCGGCGGCCTGCGGGCTGCCGGCGGGGGAGGGGCGCGCCAACTTCAAAAGAGCCCCCTCCGCCGGGCACACACTCCCGCTCCTCCCGCCCCGCTCCGGGCAGCCAGCCTCCCCTCCCGCCGGGAAAACCCTCCGCAGCCACGCGGGCGCGCGGGGCCCCGGCCGCCACGCACCCAGAAACCTGCTCAACCCGCGTCTCAGGCCGCTGCCCCCGCGGCCTCAGCCAGGGCCGTCGCGGGGCCCTGCCCCTCAGAGCCCGGCCGGCACCCGCCTGGCACCCTGGCCGCGGGGACGCGGCTCTGTCTGCGCTCCCCCCGCCGAGTTAATATTAACCAGGAGCTCATGCGTCCAGAATGCTCTCCGAGTTCCACTGGGGACGATCTCGCCACGGTTGAGGGGCTCGGGCGGCAGGCACAGTGGAGACAGACGCACGGAGGCGCGGGGAGGGGAGGAGGGCGCACCTGAGCGGAGCCCAGGGGGTTATGTGGAGTGAGGGCCCCGTGCGCGGTGCCCCAGGAGAGCCCCAGCCTCCGCCGGCCTGGGGGGCGGCTGTGTCACCCCCTCACACCAGCCTGGCCCCTCACACCCACGCCTGCCGCCTTCCACCTGCCCCGCCCTCCCACCCGTGGGATCAGAGCAAAAGGTAGGGCGGGAAGGGATGAGCCAAGGGCACCTTCCAGGCCGCTCTCCAGACACCCACGACTTTGGGGGGACATTTGTGGTGTCCATGCTGCCGTTCGGGCCTGGCTCTCCGCACCCAGCGTGGTGGTGGCTGCCCCTCCCCCGTCCTTTTGTGCAGGGAACGGGAAAAGCCACTGCCCAAGGAAAAAGTATTTGTTTTCGTTTCTCCGTCTGAGGGAAGTTGACAGAAGGTCAGAAGTTCAAATGCTGCCCGCGCACGCAGCGGCCAGAGTGGCGGGGCGCGGGTCCCCGGAGGCGGCGGAGCCCCGCACCTGCCTTCCGCCCGCGCGGGGACCGGCCGTCGGGCCTGCTTCTAGCAGAGGCCGCGGGCAGGGCGCGGGGGCCGCAGCGCCCGGTGCGCGGAAACTCGAGCCGCGGGATCGATCGCCCGCAGTAAGTGGAGCCGAGTGCGTCTGCCGGGTGTGCGCCTGCCCGGCCGCTCCCCTCCCGCGGCCCGGGGACCCCGCGCCGTCCCCTCCCTCCGCGGGAGCGGGGTGACGGGGTCGGGCGGGGACGGAACGGAGAACTCCCCGCCGCCCACAGCGCGGGCGCCCGGGGACTGCGTGGAGTTCCCGGGGCCGGCGCGCGCGGCCGCACCCGCGGCGCAGGTTTAGGGGGTCGGAGCAGAGGGGAGCGCGGGGGGGGGGGCGGAGAGGGACCTTCTCCTCGGCTCCCTCCGCCCAGGCTTCGGCCGCCCGGAGCCCCGGGCTCCCAGAGGGGCCGCCTCGGGCGAGAGCGCGCCCCCGGGGCTCCGTCCCGCCGCCCCCCTCCCGCACTCGGCCCCTTCCGCGCCCTCAGTCAGCTGCTGTGCGCTCCTAGCCCTAAAGGTAGGACTTGACTATTTTAATAGGGCAATAAAAAGGATGTTGACCTATATTTGCCAGGAAATCCATTTCTAGCTTCAGTCCTACGTGCTCGGAGTTTCAGACAGCCCACCCCGGCGGGCGGGCGCTGGCGCGGAGTCTCGGCGGCGGAGGGAGAGAGGACGTGGGTTCGCTGGGTCCTCTCCCCAGCCCCTGGAGAGTCCCAGGGCCAACGGGTTGCAAAGCGGCCTGATGCGGTGCCAATAAGTTCTAAGTCCCTCCCCTCAGGTACCGGCCAGGAGCAGGAACGCACATCCTTAAAGATACATGGATACATGCACGCTGCCGGCACCGCCGCGCAGGAGTCGCAGGGGAGCTGGGGCCGCCGGGACCACCCAGGCCCCCAGCCCGGCCTTGGCTCCGCCGTCTCTGGCCACCCGAGGGGCAGCGCCCGGGGAGTGGTGGAAAGACAGAGGAGGAGGGAAGGCGCTCTGAGATGCTGAGGCCACATTTGTGCAGTGAGCTGGAGGCAGTCCGTGGTTATGGGGGATTTCTGCCCCTTCCCGCATTTCCACTCCAAACTTGGAAAGGGCAGACACCCCAAAGGGAAGGACACCCCAAGTCACCGCCAGAGTTGAGGCAGGATGGGAAGGCCACCCCAGCCAGAGAATCAAATCAGGGCCACCCGGGACCACGTCCCCACCGCCGCCTCCCCCACTCCACCCCACCCGAAAGTTTTCAGCTGGACCCTTCACCTGCTTTCCCTCCAGGAAGAGGAAGGGATGGCAGGTGGACAGGTGGGTGGGGAAGGCCAGGGGGAAATCGCCTTTCCCTCTGCCCCAGAGCAAACACACGGCCGGCCGGACCGCCTGGTTCCATAGAGCCCCCGTCAGCGACACCCTCCCCGCCCGCCCTGGCTTCTACCTGAGTCATCAGCCGGTCCGCTCCCGTGTTCTCCTCGTCCTTAAATATTATGTCGGGGTTGTAATTGGGGGTGAGCTCCTTGAACCGCTCCGAGTTTCGCGAGATCTTCCCTTCGTATCTTCCACTGGCCCCCAGGGTCTTCTCGGCCACGTTGGGGATGAACTGCTTGTAGGCTAAAGGGGTCAGCTTTTTGGGGTGCCGCCTCTTCCCGAACCCCCTGCCCGGTCCGCACGCCAGCCCGGAGCACAGCAGCAGTGAGGAGATGAGCAGGGCCAGTAGACATCTCGCCAGCAGCAGCATCTCGTCCACGGAGCCGGTGACTTCCACGCCGTCCCCGTGCAGGTCTGTGCGCGAGTGCGCGAGTGTGTGCCGTGCGCCCTCCCTTCCTCCCGGGCTCGCCGCTGGCTCCCTCGCTGCTCTCTGCCTCGCTCTTTCTCTCCCTATAGCACCCTGCCTGCCACCAGCGCCGGGGACTCTCTGCCGATCCCCACCCAGACGGGGGCTGGAGCGGCGGGCTGCTGGTCGCTGATAACGGAGCACATCTGAGTTGGGGCGGGAGACAGCAATCAAAAGACAAAAAGAGTCTGATTTTAAATGGTAGCAAGCCTGGAGAGCTGTGCGAGAGGCTGTCTTCAGTACTATATTATAGCTGGCAGGGGCGCATCTGATTGGCCAAAGCAGCACAGCTTCGCTTCTGATGTTAACCCTAAAAAAGACTAGATTTTTTTTCTGTGCTGCTGGTGCTTTATTTTCACCTGGAGGCTCTGAGTGAAAAGGAAAAGAACACACCTCTGCTAAGACGAGGGTGGGTGTGAGGGACGCTGCCGGCCCAGGGTGACATCAGCTACCCCCTGCTTTGTGCGTGTCTCCCTGTTCCCCCTCCCTTCCCCAGAATGGTAGGCGCTTCAGTTAAAACCAACTTAAGTTTTTAAAGGACGGCCTGGACCCCCCTCCCAGCCTCAATTATCAAACAAGTATTCTCCCCAGTGTCTGAGGGTAGAGCTGCCCAGAGCTGATTTAAATATTTTCTGAGACTTTATTATGCAGTCCAGCTCTGACAGCATTTTAAAGACACAGGGTCTGCATTTTCCTGAATCTTCCACATCCTGGATGGAGGGTCGTCCTCACCGGCCACCACGGAAGCACTGCTGTATGAAGGCGGTCAGAGCCCCTGGAGACTGGAAAACGCGGTTCCTTCTGTGTTTCCATTAAGGCATTGTTTTTAACTCTCTGAGCATGGATGTAGGAGTGCGCGGGGCTGGGACTGGTGATCCGAGATCGCCTGCTGGCTGGGCCGGGTGGTGTGGGCACTGCACCCAGCCTGGAGGAGGGGGCACAGCGGAGCTGTGAGGTGGGCGGAGGCCCATTGTGCTGGGGGCAGCGTGAGTGGGCAGACTGCGCACACCACCCCCACAAGCTATCGATCCCAGCAAAGTGCAGGCCAGGGATGAGCTGGATGTGGGATTCCGGCTCCTTCCACGCTGTGCCCAGTGGTTGTGCCTGAGCCTATAGGCCCGTGCGGGGGGCTGCAGCCCAAGGCGGGGTGGGCCCAGGGAGCAGTGCTCTGGCTACAGGGGGCCTGGCACCCGGAGCTGGCAACACTGGCTATTTTTTTTTTTTTTTTTTACCATTTTCTTTTAGAAAATGAAGTCCTGTTTAAAGCAGAAAAATAAAAGCAGAACCCCCCTTTTACAGGACTGTCCTCTGGGCCTCCAGCACCACTCCCGCCAGGGCTGCTCATGCTTGAGCCAGGGAGAGGGCTGCGGCCGGCGCCGGCCCTGCGGCCAGGCCCTCAACACCATGGGCCCTTCCAGCGTCCATGCGGGCCCCCCATATGGCCTTCTGGTGGGAGGCCAGAGGGGCCCAATAAGAACTGAACACCAGCAGGGCCTTCCCCAGGTTGACCCCAGCCCCCGGCCAGGTGGGCAAGCAGCCCCCTTTGCCAGGCCTGCCAGGTGGAGGGTGTGACCCAGCATCCTGGCCGCACAGCCCAGTGGGAAAGACACGGGAAGGACACCGGGTACTGGATGCTGGAGGGTCAGCCTGCTTGGGGTGTCACCATGCAGCAGCTCACATGGATGCAACACCACTGGGTGGGGCAGGGCTGGGCGGGGCTTCAGAAGCCCCTGGGCCTGGGGGACTCCAGCCTCCCCCCCCCAGTCCCTTCCCAACCCCCCTCTTCTTTTTGTCTCATACCCTCCCTCACAAACCCAGGCACAGGCAAAGGGATGCAGCACTGGGGTGCGACCCTGCAGCCCCAAATCAGGGACCCATGTCACCACCGGTGCGCACAGCGGGGTGTCTGCGCCCCAGGGCACGGGGTCCCCCACCAGCAGAGGCCTCAGATGGCCCATGGCTCTCCTGGCTGGCACTGGCCGCCTCACTCAGGCTGCACTGACCCCCATTTCCCAGGGTCTTCCCTGTGGGATGGGTAGGGGGATCTGGACAGACTCCACACAGTTTGTATTTACTGTCTTAGCAACAGGGCACCAGCCAGGCCACTGAGAAGGGGAGCCCCTGCCCTTTCTCCCCCAACTTCTCTGACCCAGACACCGAGGGCTCCCTCCTTTGTCTTCCCCTCAGACACTTCAGCCCCGCCCAGGGGTCAGAGGCTCTGAACCCCAGCTCTGCCTGATCCCAGGTCCCCCTCCCCGCTCTGCTTCTCATTTGCCTGGGCTCTGCCCATTTCCAGGGCCAATCTGCACCCCTCCACCCATCCTCCGTCCCCGCACCCAGAGGTAGCTGCTGTCTCCTCCCCCACCCCCAGGAGGCGCCTCTGCGCCCGCCGCCCGGCCCCCACCACTAGATGGCCTCCTTTCTCTGCCTCTGGTCAGGCAGAGGCCGGAACTGCGAGCAGGCAGGCAGGTTCCCGGGAGCGGAGTTAGCCCACCTGGGCCGCCTGCCCACCCCTCGTCCACTTCTGTGGCCCCTCTGGCCCCTCTGGGGTGGGTGCGGCTGGCTCTGCGGCGGGCGGGGCTCCTGCCTCAGCCGGGCCACACTCCCGGCCTCTGCTCTGTCCCTGGGGCTGCGCCCCCTTCCTCAGGCCGCCCTCGGGGCCTCTTCCCCTCCGTCACGGCTTCCATTTCTTCCTGATTCCGTCTCCTTTCCGCACATTGGATACCCGTGCCCCGTGACCTCAGCCAGGGTTGTGCAGGGATGTGGCCTGGGGTGCGAGCTTCCCTCAGGGCCACTGCGTCCGCCAGACACACAGACCTCTGCCCGGGAAGGTTCCGTGGGGCTGAGCCTGGTGGCGGCCTTCTCAGCAGAGCAGAGCGCAGAGGGGACAGGAGGTGGTGCCCGCCAAACACTTGCCACGAGGGGGGGAAGGACCTGGCACCTCCAGGCTCAGTGACTGGGACAGGTGACAGCTGAGGCCTCCCTCGCCCACCCAAGTGCCGTGGCCCGGGGGGTGCTTGTCCCCAGGACCCGTCCCTTCCAGCTGACTTTTCTCCTTGTCGCCGGGGAGCCCCAGCCTTCACTTCCCGTTTTACCTCGGAACAGGCGCTGCCATGGTGACCTGGCGAGGGGTGCGCCACGCAGGAAGGCGCGTGTCTGCTCCATGCGTGGGCGAGCAGGCGGGTCGGGCGCTGGTGTGCCGCCGGCTGAGTGTACAGGCTTCCTCGCTGCAGATGCCCGAGCTCGGACCAGCCCAGCGTGAGCTCGGCCTCAGGCCCGTGGGTGTGCCCCCGTCCAGACCCAAGGGACCGTGGCTCACGTGAGTGGGCCAGGATGCGCTGCGGGAGTGGCGCACACCCAGGCAGTGAGGACAGACCTAGCACTCTGCTCCCAGCTCCATGTGCCCTTCCCGTCTCACAGCTGCCCGGGCCCAGGGCACAGGTGCCCAGGGCAGCAGCCCAGTCGCCCTCATTGCATCGGGCCACTTGGGGACCCCAGCAGTGCCTGGCTGCCCTGCCCACAATCTTGTTGCCTGGGGATCCTGTGAGCCCACAGCACTAAGGCCTGGGGATGTCCCTGCCCTCGGGCACCCTGTCTGCCTGGCATGCCCTTTGCCCAGGAGGACCTGGTGAGGAGCCCACAGAGCTCCCCACGGGGAGGGGGGAGGGCCTGCTCAGGAGTGACTTTCTGATTCTTTCTAAAGATCAGGCATGGGGGACAAAGTGAGGTGTGTGTGCATGTGCATTAATGTGTGTTAGTGTGTATGTGTGTGAGAGTGTATGTATGTGCATATGGATGTGTGTGTGACTGTGTTTGTATATGTATAAGTGACTATGTATATGTATGTGTATGAATGCAAGTGTATCAATATGTATGTGTATGTGTGTGACTGCATGTTGGTACGAGTGCACGTGTGACTGGGTGTGCATGTATGTTTACATGCATGAGTATGCATGAGTAAGTGTGTGTGACAGGAAGGTCAGGCCCTTGGGTGTGTGGACAGAGCCGGAGCAGGGAAGCAGGACTGGCGGACTGCTCAGAGGGCCTGACTTGGGGACTCTGGAGGGGACTCAGGTCTCCTGGGCCCGAAGCTGGTCCACCTGGGAGGACTCAGACCCTTGTCACCTGCTTCCTCCCGCTGGGGAGCCCTGCCTGGTCCGGCTCTTTCTGCCACTCGGAAGGGGCGACTGTGACCCCTTGGCAGCCAGCAGGCACTTACATCATTTGGACATTTCTGCCCAAATGGTCTCTTAATGAAAAAGGAGATGCGATGCTGACAGGGAGGAGCAGAGCGAATCAGGTTCGTCTGTCTGTCTGGCGTGGCTGCAGCTCCATGCAGGGTAACGCCGGGCTCCTCCTGCCCAGGCCGCCTGGCACCCTTCTGCCCTCTCCCTTGGTGGCAGGATGACAGGGTGCACCAGATCCCCAAGTCCCTCAGGGCTGCATTTTCTAGAAAGATCTGAACTTCTGTGCAGGGCCACAGACTACTGGAGGTGTTCTCTCACCTAGCATGTTGGCCAGGGAGATACCGTCTACACGTGCACCAGGGCCGGGACCACTCCTGACCTATTCTATTTGCCAAGGGAGCTGGAGCAACAGGGTCCTTCCATGCTGTCCTCGGAGAAGAGACACATCGAACTGGTGTCTTCCTTGGCAGCGCTCCGAGGCATTTGCTTCCACCATGGGCGGTGGAGGTGGAGGTGGGGAGCACGGAGAGGTGGGGGCGGAGGAATGTGCAGACATACCCAAAGGTGTCCGTGAGTGCCACCTCCATGCCTCCTCTTGGCTTTTGGAGTGAGGATGTGAGGATGGCTACCCAGAATGCACAGCCCAGCAGCTCAGCAGCCAGACCTGCCCTCTGAGTGGTGCCCGGGACAGGCCGGCAGGTCCCCAGTGCAAGCTCC